CCCTTTCAGACAAATTGATTATTTAAGCTGTAACCACCCAAACTGGGTAGGCTGGAGCGAGGTACATTCACTAGCGTGAAATACGTGAACGCACCTCTTAAGAGTACTAAGAAGCAATCTAATTTACAAGGCGCGACCTAGTAGGAAGAAGGGTGTTGACAGCGGCGTTGGCCAAAGAGGGGTAAATGGAGGATTAGCTAGGGAAATGGAGGGGAGACGGAACGCACTTCACACAACGCAACACCCCTGACGTCAACGCAACACCCCTCTCATTTCGTCTGAACATCTGCAGGAAGTTCTTAAGGAACGCTCTTAAAACAGAGTTCAGTAAACAGTGAGTAGTTCTACGCAACGCTAGCAATTAATTTTGGACGAAACCCCAGCGCGTAGGAAGCACCGTGAAAGCTCTATAAAAAAGAAATGCAAATTAATTTATGAAGATAAAGAGGGTAGAAACTGGTATCATTTTGAGTAGATCATGCTAATACGCAATGATTATATTTCAGTTTTTTGCATTTGGTCATTTATTTGATTTTAATTTTAATCGTCAGAGATATTCCGAATTGGATTCTGGATTTTTCCTGGCAGCATTTGCTGAATTACCACACAGCTGGTAAATTGAAAACTGCCGTATCCTGCCTTACGACCTCAGGCGAGACCAACATTTCAGGTTCACCATCACTTAGCAAACTTCGGAGGTGATTCAGAAAAAGAATAAACCAGCTCACCACGTAAGGTCGGCGATTTTATTTGTATAATTTGTGTAGGAATCTAGACCAAGACAGATTTGGGAAGCCAAATTTTTTTGGAATAGAAAGAACATAGTGTAACATTTTCAGTAATTGAACAGTTAATAATGCAGTCATTAACTGCTTTTTTTCTCTGATTTTCATTGAGTAATAGAACATTTGGTCATTGAAAGGATTTGAGTGAAAAGAAAGGCATATTGTTTGTCATTCTAATTAAAAGAAACTGGAAGATTGCAAACGAAGTGAATTATCTTGTATCTTGTGTGATTTTTTAAGCTTTTAGTTAAATAGCAAGCTCATGTGTTTCAAGATGCATTGCGTTTGAGGTCAATGCAATTGCACCAGTCAGTTAAATCAATGAGAGAGATTTGAGCTTCATTTAGAAATGTAACATAAATGTGAATTTTCAAATGCCAAGGTAACAAAAAGACCTTCTTTTTCAACTATTTGGGTGCATTTGTGTGTTTTGTGTTTTTTTCTCTTTAGGGTGATTTCTGATTTGCATAAGTTTTTTATTTATGTGTTTTTCTGATTTTTGAATATATGTATTTTTGGTTCAGTAATTATTGTCATGTTCAATTTTTGTTTTCAAGTAAATTTTCCACTGCCCTCAGATCCAAATAGAAAGAATCTTTAAAAACTATTTTAAGTTGATAGAGGCAAAATTCTACCTAAGACAAAACAAGTTCTCTGACATTTTATTCTTTAACAATCATCTGCACTCAAGATCAGGGAGTCAGGATATTGATGCGTCACACCCTAGGGCCAGCCGGGACGTTTGTGCTATTAGATAAAAAGATTGGGAGGTGGTTGCCAGGTAGAACTCGCCTGCCCAGATGCCCTGGGCACCACGGCAGCAATGCAACAAGCCCATAAACTTATATTAAATATTAGGTTTAATTTAGATTAAGAGTGACGATTCCTATAATGAGAACCTTTCAGACAAATTAATTAATTAAATTATATTGTTAAGCATTCTCACATCGTTTTGTGTATTACATGCATAAAACTGATCACGCATGCATCTTTGCCCGCACCATTCTAGGAGCACCTGGGCAAGCTGAAGATGGGAAGGGCGGTGCTGAGTGGCTCAGCCCAGGGATGGTTAGCCTACCCATGAAAGGAGAGATTACACACTCCAGAACACAGTCAAAAATATTTTTAATTTTTTTCACAGAGTGGAGGAACTTCCAGCACTAAGTTAACCAGAATTTGGTATAATTTAACCTACTGTTAATTTTTCAGTATATTAATTATAATTAATACGTCCTCCGTCCTATGTGGTTATTTAAAAATATAAATATATAGTGAAAAGTCAGAAACCAGAGTTTAATTCGAATGGGAAAAAACGGTATCACGCGATAGCAATACGATACAATTGTATGCAGGGTTGGGAATGAAGAGTACACGTTGTTAGGACAACCAATGCCCACAGTGTAGTAATCCATGCTTGGTGTCATAGCGCCGTTTATTTGGGGAGGCACGGCGCCGGAGACATAACATGTGAGAGGTATGGAGATGGCACTGAAAGACGTGATTCTGTGGGAATAAAAATAATCACTCTCTCGAAAACTAGCGAGCCGAACACACGTAGCGATCGAATATTTTGTTCTGCATTGACTGGGGTATTAAATGATAGTAAGGCGGGTAACTTACGATTAGTTTTGATTGCTTGGCATTGTGCAGAGTAAGAAGTCGAAGATGTTATTCGCGTTGAATAATAATTGTACTTTTTGTTAATATATTTTGGGATTTATATTCAAATAGGATTTTTATCTCGAAGGAATGTATCTGGGATAACTCTGGCAAGGATAGCTTTGTAGATGGGGAGGAATATTTAATAACTCGGCTGAAGATAGTCGCGCATATGTGTTTCATCCGAAGCTCAGCCCGGTAAGGTCGCGTCTGCGAATTAATTTAATAGAAATTACTGAACACTATACCTGAACCATTGCAAAGCCGGACGAAACGAAACTATTATTTTCTTATGGGTTGTCATGGCAATAGGGGAGGCGCACATCAACTGAGGTCGCCGATATCTTGCACACACAAGCAGTGTTTGCTTGTACTAGGTAGCGCTACCTATGTGTAACGCGTAGAACTGTTTTAAATTGCAAACGCTATGTTTGCAGCAAGAGAAACGTCTTTTAAATGATTACTCGCCTGTCGTAAACATTATGTAAATTTTAGACAAAGTGCTGTTAATCAATTTTGTGAGGGTGCCAGGCCTCCGTTGCCTCCTCTGAAAATCCTCCACTGAAATTCACACGTATACCGTATTTAACTATCAGTTTGCGGCAAACCAGCATCTACCACTTCCCACCCAGAGGCGACGGTGCTCTAAAAGTCACGTATTCTGGACGTTTCTATAGAGGCAAGAGCCAAGAGCGTGGTGCAATATCTGGAAAGGCACCAGACGCCGGAGAAAACGCCAGTAGGGCGCTCTTTGGTTTCAAAATGATTTTACATTTATCGACATTGCTGCAGTACCTTGAATATTGAATGCCACTAAAACGAGAATGTATATTCCTAACATACAATAAAATATTTTTTCAATTATCGGGAGCTTGTGCAACCTAAGCACGTGCCGCCACTGCTCAAATCTCACCGGTGATAAACTTTCAATCCAGCTGACGGCAGGAAGGAAAACGGGACGAGGCGTTACCAATGCAATTCTTGAGAAAAGCGCGTGGGTGACAGAATTTTTTTTTTCTCGTGAGCAGGGGAGAAGAAGGGAAAAATGAATAAGAAAAGGTAAGGAAGAGCAAAATGTGTTCTGAAGATATCCATGAAATTTGTTAGTACCTACTTGTTAACTGTACCTCATCAAAAGATTCGTGAACGGACGGTAAAGGTCAAAATGTGACTTGCGCGAGTATGGTTGTGTTCATGAGTTTAGGCGAAGACACGATAAACCCAACATGAACAATGATCCGATTGCTAAGAAAAGTCAAGTCATGACCAAGCGCGCACATAAGAAAAGTTTTATTCATTAATACATTAAAAAGTTATTCTGATGGTATTAGACACACTGAATATGTCATTGAACTACTCATAGATATAGTAAGTAGTTTTACCTGATAATTCCTCTCTGTGATTTTAGTGTTTTAACTACATGGAAAAATGACCCAATCAGGGCGTGTATCTCAAAAAGTTTATCGCTTTTTCTATCCGATTTTTCTTACCGCTTCTCTCTATTGGCCATTATAAACTGAGGAGGCTATGTCATCGATCGCTCATGTCAATGTCCAATAAACCGCCTATGTATTTAATATCTAGGTCTCTCGTGGTGCCAGAGGTGAAGTCGGCGTCGCCTATCACCAAAGATCAGGGATGAATTCTGCCTGGTCGATTGCACGGACAATCTCATGTAAAATTTGTTCCAGACTGAACGAACGAACCAACTGGCTGCTTCACAGAGCTAGTCCAACTGGATACTAGATGTAAAAATAAAAAATGTTAACGGAGTATTAATCCATTTTAAAATGATGACTCCACAGTAAAGCGCTAAACGCTTCTTTAGGAGACGCGTTACGTCAATAACGTCACAATCAAATTTTAAAAAAAAATAGCATATCTGATTTTAACATATTTTCAATATTTGGGCGCATTTTTGGAACTCTTCGCTTCACGATCGGGGGATTTATCGGACACTTTCCCAAAGCAAACTCGTGATATTTAACTATGATAAATCTTGGACCATCAGGTTTAAGTTATAAAGTAAGTTTATTAAGTTTTATTTACAAAAGCCGGCTCGGTTGCAATCACGAAAGATAATACAAAGTCGAGTCGCCGAATTAACCTGAAGAAATATACCGCTGAATCTTGTCGGATTATCGTCGCCAGAGGTAAGCCGAAGAACTTGCTCTAATGGAGATGCCATATGTGCCCCGCGAAGAATTGGGCGTGAGTCACCGAGAAAGCTAGAATGTCAATCAAAGAGTTGGAAAAGCCCTACCGACACGCCTTTTTCCTGTTAAATTCTTCAAAGCAAGCACATTTCGCTTCATTTCGTTGATTGTAATGTTATTTCACGATACTTGGTTTCAATAATATTTTCAGAGAGGCAAAAATGTTCTCAGAATTCCTAAAAAATCTGTAATCTTTCCGTAATCCATTGAGACTATTCGATTTCTTTGCTCTGAAATTGTAATGTCAGCTGTTGTGAATATGTAATCTCAGGTTCCTGTGGTGCCTATCAGCGCCATTGTCGGTTCCGCTTATTTTGCGATAACTAAAGATAGATTTCCTGGAAAAAAAAAACAATCCATGCCAAAAGTTTGCAAGCTGAGTTCACTTGAACAGAAGGAAGAAGTCTCGATTACATCAGAATGACACCCAATAGCTTCAGTTAATCACCTTATCTGTTTTTTACCAGATTTTTTATGCAATTTGTCTTTGCACTTAAGGGATTTTTAAAACAATTTAAAAGCATTTTAATGATCATTTTTGATGATGTTTGAGGTCATAAAAATCTGCCCCTAGTCATTTATGTTTATTTGTATGCAGTTCAAAAATACTGCAACATTCAAAAAGTACAAAACATAGTATAGAAAAAAAAATAACTTTTTAAACTTATATTTAGGGAGAAAAAATATACAAGTACTTAAAAATTCTGTATTTGAAGTTTTAATCTATGTACAATTGCTTATCAGAAAAATAATGTAGTTCGATGCCTGTCAAATGTGCATCAAAAGTTAGGTGATGGAATTATTGAAATCTCCATCACTTACACTCCTAATAATACATTTAAGAACTTGTCAAATACGGAGTAAAAATGCACTAAAAATCTGTCCAGACTGAACAGTCTCCAAGAGTCTAAAAAATTTAAAAGAAGTTTTGTAAGTTCTGAACACACTTCAACAAGACAAAGAACCAATTGAATTTGTACAACTGCATGGATTTCCGTAATCCATTGAGACTTTGTTTCTATTTCCTAAAACAGTCTTATCTCGAACATGAATGTAGCACTCTCACCAATATACTTTCAGTGTGACTAACAAGAGTTTCTTAGGTGTAATGAATTCACACCAAATTCCATCTTCAGAAACAACACTTGCAGTCCTATTTGTATTGATGTACAATCACTGTACATACAAAACAAATAATTCAATAAATAAATACAACTTCATTTGCTAAAAAAATGAAGTTAAGTGATATCAGTCGTGGGAAATACACATAAAATGAATAAAAAAATCTATTAAGTCACTAAGTTTTGAGACTGTTCATGAGTTAAGTAAGTTTGATCAGCATATATATGTCTTGGCTGCTCACAATCGTCACCTGAAAAGTAATTTTCATATAAAATAACAACACATTGTACTTGACATATAACAATTACATAAAAATAAAACATATATTCACATGAAAATAACATGCATCACTTACCAGATGCTTTGATTTTATCATGTACTATGTACACTGCAGTCAATAGGAAAAATAGTCCTCCTATAACTTCCACAAAGCAGGTAATGAAGAGAGCATATTGTAAACTGAGAAACTCAACTTCAATTTCTTCTCGAGACTTAGGCTGATTGGCATCTGCAGGTGGAAGAATAGCACCAGTAGGGCTAAGGGCTGCCTGCAATGCCACTGATATCTGAAAGGCATTGATATATCACATTACTTTCAAGGTCAGTAATCAATGTGTTGTGATTACCATAGATAGACAAATACAAAAGTTAATCTATTCTCAAGGCATGTAACTTATCAGGCTTCCATGTATTGGGAAGTTGCAATGCCCCTGCAAAAGCATGCTCCCAATATTGAAGATTTGTTTGATATTCAGCGTGTGTTCTTTACTTCAGTTCATATGTCGAAAATATATTGTTGAAAATATGAATAATATCTTTATACAGTCTATATGCACCTCCATAAATTCACTATAAACCAAATTTTCTTCTATCCCTTGAAAATTCCATTTAAAAACATTTCTATATATCAAAAATTATTTCTTTCAAACTCAGTTTTTGACTTTACTATTTTTTCAGTGTAATAAAAATGTACAGTAAGCCTACATACTAGGAAAAGGAACAAATCTAATCAATATGAAGGTGTGGACGAAGCTGCATTAAAGTGGGTGAAGTTGATAAGAAATAAAAAACGTTTTATAAGTTAAAAAAACGTTACTCAATACTTGGGACATGAAGGTATTCAGGCCACTTCTGCATGATTAGATAAGTTTAAAGAATGTTGCAAAAGCATTTGCAAAAACATTTCGTAATTATTTCTATAGATCAAATATTAACAAAGGAATCGTCAATTCAATTTAGGAGGCCTGACTGTAAATAAAACTGAATGTAAATATTTTTCAACCTCCTTATACTTTGACTCCTCCTACACAGCTCAAATGATTTTAATGATTTTTTTGATATATGCAATCATAACACAAATTAGGTTTCTGAATGCTCAAATTGAAACATAATAAAGAAAAGAACCTGCCTTTAAAATAAGATCCACTTGACACATGGATCTCAAGAAACGTAATAGTTATGAGCAGTCTAATCACTGTCAGAAGAAAGAAGAGTATTCAAGAGTCATACGAATCTGTGGGTGCTGAATATAACTAACAATGACCGAAAAATAAGTTAAATGAGATCCTATTAAAATTCTGATTGCAAGAAACATGTTATGAACATTTTACTCTAGAAAAACGCAATCCAATGCCTGACACTTTTGAATGGTTAGTTGATTTTTATTCAACTTCCTGATCCCAGTGAAGTGGGTAGATAGTTCTAGACTTTTTAACAGTTTAAAGTTAACAATATTAAACTCACCACTCCAATTAAGTAAGGGCTACCAGCATCACCCAGGGCATGAGAAAACAATATATTGAAAGCTTCTGCTGTTGATCTTCTTGTAGGCACAACAACATACTGCAAAAGAAAAAGAAAATATTATTGATAATGAGCATATATTGAATTGCAAAATATTTACAAAGAGGATCTTCAAAAACAACAATGAAATGACTCAAATTGAAATTTCTGGCAAGTCAGGGTAATGTTAATTCAATATTTTATATAATGCGTTCAAAATAATGCTATTTTCCTTGGACACTTGTTAAAAACACATTCATTACTTCTTAAACTTGCAATTCATAAAATACTACAAAATAATTCAGAAGAGCACACCATGCTAATTTGAATATTAACATTCAAATGGTTGAGGTTACAGATGATTACTCCTCGCAAGGAAAATCATTCAAGTTCAAATTTTTTTTTGCATTTGCATATGCATGTACCAAAAATGTTCAAGACATTCCCCAGTGTGAGGAAAAATTTTATGCATGAGAACAAAGACACTTCTAATGCACAGATAAGAAATTCAAAAACAATTCTCTTGAACTACCACTATCAATTATTTAGTAAATGACCTTCAGTATTAGAAATTATAAAAAGCCTTCTAAAGAACAAATCTTTCTGTTAAAACTATGAAATGATATTATTTCCATTCTGTATTTGATATAACATCATATACACATCAGTTATATTCACAAATACATAATAGAAAAAAAAAAGAAAAATTTCACATGTGAAATCACATGATTCTCAGTATTCTGTTTAAAAACAAAAATTAATTTATTAAATTAAAAATTACCTAAATGTCAAAAATGCTAATAACTTTTGAAATTGTTGATGGTAAAAATCCTTCAAATACCATTTCATCTCATTCTTAATAAAAAGAAATATATAAATGTATTAAAATAAGCACTAAGGTTGATCGTTTAATTCATGGAATGGCAAATTTTTTAACTTCAGAATAACATCCAAAAATTCTCTATATCATCAAAGAAACAATACAATCCTCAACTTTCAGATTACTGCATTGTGAACTAAACAGCACAAATAAATGTGGAATTTTTTTTTTTTTTAAAGGTCTCCAAACACAGAAACAAGAAAGTTTCCTCACAATGAAGAAACTATATCCATTGACTCAAACTCAAGAAACAGTAAAACAATAGAAGATGACAGTGAACAAAGAAAAAGAAAAACACAATTAATTAGTTGTGAATTTAAAGAATGTTAGCAATGCTCGTTTACACAGAAAAAATTATACGATAAAAAAGAGTAAACTCTGGAAAAAAACAACAACGAAGAAACATAAACGCTGAAAAAACCACTGGAACTCAAAATTTTAAAAATTGTAGAAACAAGGAAAAAAACAACTTATAACCTTGCTGAATTTCTGCATGCTGAGAAAATAGATCAAACAAATAAAAGGCCGCATTTGTACTCTTATCAAATTCTTATCGATTTTCAGAATGATAATAAATGTTGCATGTCTTCCTTGCACTACATGAGCTATCAAAAATAGAAATATCCGTACCCATTCCATTATTGTAACACCTTACTCCTCACTATGACTTACTTTTCTTATTAATGCTTGCAGTCAATAGTAAATAATCATGCAGGGTAATGAACTCCAAACTTCTAGACTCGATGGGTTTTTAATAATGTCTATGATTCCACCTCCTCTAATTTTATACCAATAGGAATTTCACCTGAAATCTTTCCAATGTCAAACATACTGGCTGCCTTGCAAGTGGTTTGGTCTCATAGTGAGTGTTAATTTTTTTCTTATGAGACTTTATGGTACCATAGGATGACATGTTTTGGTATGAAAGTATTTCATAATGTTTCCACCTACCCACGAATTATCAACAGAAGTACTTAATTTAATTAGCATAGATTACTTCACTCAAGATTGCATCAAATAATGTTTGCACTGAAGGTTTCGATAGGAAAAAGAGGCCATGATAGGGTGAGAATCTTGGCAGTTAACAAGTTTACCACTCTAATTGTAACTCAGAAATTAATCAATTCACAATATGAATTCTCAAAGAAAACTTCAAAATCCAAGGAATATTTTCTACCATTTCATTTTCTAAAGAAAATTAAGACAGAACTAGCAAGATACCACAACATGAATCGCAGGATCAACCATAAAATTTATTAATTTGAATTAAGTTTTAAAAGCCACGAGAAAAAGACAAGATTATTTGTGTTATTCATATGCCCATTAGTACAATTGAATTTCTCTATGAAAGATTGTCATGACAACCAATTCAATAAGTAATTTCACATGTAGCAGATTAGTAGGCAACTATAGAAGATTGCTTGCTAGCACAACAAATGAATACTTTTGAGGTACTAGTTTCTCTTACACGAGATACTCTATAATCCACCACCCTAACATGTCATCATGCAAAATCAACACAACTGAAAACACCCACAATCCAATACGAGGACCAATACGAGAAGCTACAAGGTTACACCTCACATTTACAACATGTTTGCTTACCAAAAGAATATCTGCAACTATGGCCCAATTTAGATTCAGTGCAAGTTCGCCAAAAAACATTACAACATAACATAATACAATATTATATCTGGCCAGGAACATTGATGATATTAAGAAGGGAACACTGATGAGTAAACCGCAGCCACAGACCAGTGGGTCTGCCCGTGGGAAACGTGACCTCAATATCTGTCCCAGGTACGATCCCAGGGGTACACCCACTACCCCCGAAACCATTGTTATTATGCCGAACACGAATGCAACACTGCAACAAAGTAGAATTGAAATGACATTACAATATATATTCAAAACAACTTACCAATATCATATCTGCCACAATGGACCAGTTCAAGTTAAGAAAAACTTCGCCAAAGAAGATAAGCAAATAGCACACAGAAATGTTGTGTTTTGCAGTAACTGTAGCAAGGAAGACAAGTGGAGCACTTGCAAGTAAGCCATATGCACAGACCAATGGGTCGGCATTCGGCCACCTAGCACGAAATCTTTGTGCTAAATAGGAACCCAAGGACACTCCAGTGATTCCAGCTATCATTGTGATGACACCAAATATGTTGGCCACACTGGAAGTAAATGTACATAAACACAGTGAGCATGAAGCAATAAAATGCTCAAAAAAAAGCATGCAATCCTATACTGAAAATGAACCTCATGTTCTATACATCAAGAATAAAATGTATTAGACAAGAAGAGAATTAAAGCTAAATAATGTGAACAAAATTACTTAATACTAAATAATCATGTGAACACTACAAATATATCTTACAACCAAACATATTACTACCTTAAACAATTTAACATGATTTACATCTTGATATGTTAATAAAATTTACACAAAAATACATTAAAGGATAATTTCATATCTGAAATTCATACCATCATTGTTAAAAAAATGTATGAAGTAAAGAAATTGCCTTCTTGGCAATTATTATCATTACCTAAAATAATGAAATTTGACACATTAACTATAAATCAAGAAAGTCAGTCAGTCAGTCTGTCAGTCACCAAAAACATAAATATAGGGAAATCACATGGCTATCTTAATAAAATGCTTATATATACAATGCAGCTGCACATCAATATATCAAAACAGTGAACGGAAGCAATTATTCAGTACTGTATTTACATTGTTAATCTGTAAATGAAATGCAATCAAATGAAAATATTTTACATATTAAACAATGAAAACTAATTTTACAAAATATAACAGAGTAAAAGCAAACTTTAATATACACATTATTCAATCACAAAGAAATTATTAGTTTAATTACAAAATAAAGATAATTTTCTTCATAATTAGCGTATTCACTGGAAGAAAAGCATTTTAAATTATTTGTGTATGTTACAGAACTATCACATGCAATCTTATATCCGACAAAAACTATTATAAAAAGATTGAACAAAAAATGCAAACATAATTTAAAGCATATGTCGGAAAAAAATTAAATTTCAATGAACTTACTTATCATCAGAACCTTCATAGTTTTCATTTTGCAATTTGAGCCCAAGAACAAGAAATATTTGACCCCACCATGCGTAGAGCCCCAGTAACAAAAGTCACGCAAGTAAAACCCAAGGTTGACAACATGAAGCTAAAACTGCAACAAAAAAGAGGAAACTAGGGTTAATAAATTTCTCTGCATTTACTACAATATGACAATGTATATGAAACCTAAATTTTATAGGAAAGGAGAAAATACATTTTACTAATATTTTGTACAATAATGTGTTTAAACATGTTGAAAATAGAAGACCGAATTACTCAAGACTCAAACTGTAGTGCTTCAAATACATAAGTATACAATGCACTCTAGTAATATGATTGGTAATTTTTCTTAAATGGGCTAGATAAATATATGAAATCAAGGACATTAAAACTCACACAACACATTTGGAAAGAAAAATTTCAAGGTTTTGAAGTTTTAATCACATTATAAAAAAATCATAGACCAGGTCCAACCAAATCATCCAGCAGGTAAATGCAAAATTACAGAATTTCTTTCATTTTCCAATAGTAAAGAAAATTTTCAAAGCAGTATACGTTAAGTTACTATTACAAAATAACATGCATTAATTAGTTTTCACCCAAAATACCAACGGCTTACTCATAATACCCAAAATAGAAATGTTTCTTTTTTGTCCTTCATTTTTAATGCCTTTTCTATCTACATTTAGCAATTAGCTGCATTATTTCAGGCAATTTGGTGAAATTAAAATAATTTTTAAATAAGACTTCATCTTCAGTAGTGTGTACCAAAGGATTTTAAAAATACCAACAAAAATGTAATTACTCTTACTTTTTGAACAAGGCTCTAATGTCCTCAAACCATGAGGTTGTCGTATCATGAGTCCTTCCTTCACTCTCTCCTCTGGCTGGATCTTGCATTAGAAATATAATGAGAAGTACTGCAATTACTCCCATAACTGGAGTTACACGTAAAGCATACTGCCACTGGCCAGCTATCTTGTATGTTTCAGAGCCAATGATGTAACCCAAACCACTGCAAATAACCATAATATTTGAAAATAAATATTAATTAATATTAAGAAACCACAAATATGAATCACACTAATCATACTGAAAGATTTCTCATATAGTCATTAAAGTAACAGGGTCAATAAGTCTACTTATCAGCAGAAACACTTGCTATTATTCATTCAATACTAATACTTTATTTTGATAATTTACATGATATTCATATACTATATCAATAAAGAAATTCTATTTTTCTTTATAGTTATTGCACAAATGAATAAAACCTTTAAAGGACACTAATTGAAAGTGGAACAGAGATTGAACATATGGAGATTGAATGTTTCAAGAAGTGGGATATGTTGTTTAAAAATTGTTTTATTGTAACACCCATCAACTGATGAAGACATTAACATCTGACACTATGAGCAATTACAATTAGATATTTGATAAAAGTATGAATCATTTTACAGAATTAAATTTTTTTTTCTTTCTTGAAAGCTTGGAGATTTTAAAATAATGTGAATTCTTCTATTCTCTCATCCCAGACTTTGTAGTCTATAATTGAAATCAACAAAATAGATGCGTAGAATAATGTGTGTAGTAGGAAAGATATTGGGTGTTTGTTTTGATCAAAAGATGTTTGAACATAGCACGTGGTTTATTCTAATTCTGGAGATAACAGTTTGTTCTCTACAACTGAATTCTGAATTACTTACAAGCTCAAAAAAGTTTGGCATAGTTATGTGCAGGTAACCTACTAGTTTTGCCATTTTTTAAAATATTTATTTATTTGTTTTACAGTTTATGTAGCATGTCATTAAATTCAAAAGAATTTATATATAAAATACTACTCACCTGCCAACAGGAATGGCAAAATAAAATATTGCCAACATCCGTGACCGGACATTTTTAACAAAAAGATCACTAATAATTGTGGGAGCAATAGTAGAATAACTGGCTTCACCAATTCCCACAAGTGCTCGAAAGAAGAGGAAGGCATGAAAATTCTAAAATAATAAATAGAAATTAACAAAAGTTACATATCTGGAAAAGCTTAATAAAGTTTTGTTTCAACAACATTGTACCTAACAACCAATGATTTGAAGAAACATGATGCCATAATATCTTTCATCGGTAACATGCATCTTTAACCTCTGTTAACATGCAACCCTATGTCTTTGTTAAGAGCACTTGTACCTACTTGTATCTTAAGAAATTCAATATCCTTATTCATATTAGTTTTGGGGATAATTATTGTTAATTCTAATATTAAAAGAACAACTAAAAAAAGTATATTAGATAAATTAACATCATTTTCCTGGCATTGAACAAAATAAAACTTCTCCAATAATTATATTTACTGATGATCTGAATGTGTCATCACTGGAAGGCCTCATGCCGATATTACGGTATACGAATATTGTTTACATAAATATATTGCAAGCAACACCCCAACACATTGTAGTTACTTGCTGCAGCAACAGAATTCATTTGTTTAGTATCAAAGTATTGTAAATTTTCACGTTGTAAAGTTTTATCAGAATTAACGGTGACTGATAAAATGGTGAACATACCACGAAATGTTACAGTATTATTACTGTCTTGTCCAAATTAAAAATCTCGAGTCCGCTATGCTTCGCTTCGAGTTTTAACTTTTGGCCTCTGCAGTAATAACACTCATAGGTTCTAGGTATGTTAAGTAATGTGCAGTAATAACAATCACAGGTTCTAGGTATGTTAATAGCTATAAAGTAATGTTTAAAAAACCTTTCATTTCTAACTTACACCTGGACCTTAATTTTAAAAAATTTTACAAATTATCTTACAAATTAGATTTTGATAATACACCTAGACACAATTTTAAATACCCCAATTAAAGGAGAAGGAATATCTAATTAAACTTACCTCCATGTAAGAACCAACCAATGTTGTCAAACTCCACATAAAAACACCACCAGCCATAATCCATCGCCGACTATATCTGTCTCCAAGATAACCGAAAGCAGGTGCAAATATCATATAGCTAAATACAAATGCCGTTTGCAATAATCCCGCAGAGGAATTATTAGCACCGTAATATTTCTTCACTTGCTCAAGAACAGCTGAAACAAAAACAAATAACATAAATTAACTTTATAAACAATTAACAGACTGCATATCAATGGAAGGAAATACGAACTGACAAAATATCATTTAAATATAAACTCATTTCAAATACATCATGAAAACTTTAATCATGAGAGAAAATTAATAATACTTCTTTTTCATAACGCAGATAAAAATGACAAATGGAGCCAAAACATTCACTTAAGTCTGGAAACCACCAATTAACATTAAGTTGCTGGTGAGTTAAAATATGTATAGATTTCACACGAGGGCACATTATTACGGATGAGGGGGGAGAGAGGCACATTGTTTTAGACATACGTTGATGCAGGGGTAATCAAAAAGTCATGGCGTCACCATCAACACATTCTGTAGAGGGAACGGTACAGTGACTCAGAAAACATGTTTTAGAGGGGAAAAAAACAACAACAAAAAACAGTAGGATAATATTTGCTACACAGCTTGATTATTTACTACACTTCTCATATTAATCTTTAAATTTGTCAGTAGCAAAGAGGGAGGTTCCTGGTATGTTAACTTGGAAGAGTAACAGGATTTTTGTTACAAAATTTTACAAACATGAGGGAGGGAGTAAAAAACTACTATCTGAGTACGTATTGATAAACTACCCCTCATTGCAAGGTGTTGCCTATGTATACAACCCGCGACACTCTCCAGAATTGACAGTTATGCTATGATTAGCTATGCATTTTTTCGTTTCACTATTATTTATTGATATTTTTTAACCTTTTCCTATTCATGAATTGTAACATCTCTAAAAAAAGTATTTGATCTTGAGACATTAATGTTTTGTAGGGTTTATACAGTTAAGTGTGAGATATTGCTTTACTGAGAGATTCGAGTGTACTCCAGCACCAGAACTACGAATATGAATGTGTTTTGAAGGCAATGGCAATGAATGTATAATTTTGTAAAGAATATATGTATTAAATAAACTTGCGGGAAGTCAAAACGCCCTTCCCAAGTCATTATGGCAAACCTTTTTTTCCTTTTTCTTTTTTCTTTTCTTTTTCTTTTTTTTTCACAACATTTTTCGAACTTTTTTAAATTTTAATTTGCAAGATTTTATTTGGTAAAGCTATGAGACCTTTGAAACATTATAATGATTTTATAAATGTAGAAATTGTGTATTTCTGGCATTCACCATAGGTCTCCCCATCGCATCACAACTACTAGCATTTAATAATACGGTGAACAGTCCGTAACGGTCACCTGAATCTGTTTTTTGGATAACACATTTATTTTATTTCATTTATTTATTTATTTATTTATTTTCTTTCAATGAAAATTACAATTTTTTGGATATGTTTAATGCCGAATTGATAAATATGTAAAATTTCCTTTTCCTCTGTTCTGGAGAACTATGCTCTTCAAGCTCTTTATGCAAACAAGCATTTTTACTGCTCCAATACTTCCAATACTTTTCCTTCCTATACTATAGAATAGGGATGAAAGGTATTGGAATCGCGTCACCATTACGATCTCGAATTTGTGGTCGTAAAATCCATGTATAATATTTTTTGAGCTGTAACTTAGCGCACGTCAGATTATGATTTATTAGTGCTGTTCACAAGCAATTTTGTTCTCGAGATGTCTGAAAGATGTGTGTTGAGGCACATCCCTGTCAATTATAATATTTTGAGCTAAAATATGGCAAATACGTGGCGTTCCGGAGATTTCTACGGTATTTTAATTTTGTGTGGTACTTTACAACAAGCCCCTGTGACATTTTCTTTTTTTGAAAATGGCAGCAATATTTTCCTTTACCTTTTACTTTCCCGTATACATACGTATATACGGAGTAATATATGTAGTATAGAAAAAATTATGTAATGCTGCGAGAAAAATAGGCGCATTTTCGGCAGAAAAAAGTTCATTGCCGGGCCCTCTTAACGAAAAAGTGAATAAATCCAGTTGCTAAATAAAGAAAAAATTCTAAAACGCAGTGTAACCAGAATCCCTGTTTTACGTGTCCTTGATACCGAAAAATCCATTGACGACAAAACGTTCGTTTATTTGTGAACACTACTAGCGCCTGCGTAGGAGTTTTTCCAAATTGAAGAAACTCCTGTTCATCTGGCTCGAGTCGAAGCTTTGAGATTCTGAAAAACATTTTTTTAATATTTGTGGGTACTTTAAAGGAAGCCCTCCGGACATTTTCAAAATTTTCTCAAAAACGGCTCCATTTTTTTTTCTTTAAATTTCTTGTAAGAATAGAGTAACATACACTTATAAAAGTGACATAGGTTCGATTTTCACGATTAACTTCGAATTTTCAAACATTTAAAAAGTTTCAATTTTTTTTCGGCGTCTTCCTACAACTAAAAAATTGAAGATAGAGGTTTTTCATTCAAATTAAATTTGTTGTCCATAGTTAGTTTTTTATTAAGGTCATGTCACAAACATGCACCATATTGCTCTATTCTTTTGTTTTTAAATTACAAAAATGCAATTTTTTGACTTGTCTCTGGCATTAATATTTATACTGCCGGCAATTTGTTCACATTATTACAAAAAATTGTATATTTAAATTGCGTTGTAAAATTTTTTGAAAGATATCTCATGTCGTTAATACGCACGTTTTCAGAAATTTGCAAACACTATAATATTTGTAAGTTAAATTATTTCAAATCACTTCAAATTACGTTTTTCAAAAACTCAAAAATGTTCCGAAAAAAAGCTTTAAATGTCAAATTTACAGTAACCCTTTAACGCCACTTCCTTAAAAACGGCTCCAAATTTTTCAAAGAAAATTGCAATTTACGACGAGATTTTACTGTTATTTAATATTCATACAAAATACTCCCGTCCTACTAGTAGGAAACCGAAAAATTCAGATTTCTTTAAATGTACTTTGAAAGGCGATCGATGGGAGCTGGCAAGAGTATGTGGCAAGTTCGTTTAGTCGAGACCAAAGGAAATAGAAAACTAATACGGGAAAGTCTGTGCCATTCTATGACACCACTAGTTCTTTGATGTTTTTGTTGTTGTTTTTATCTCGAATAGAAGAAAAAGGTAATTATACGTATGTGTAGTTCCTATTTTCATTTAAACCTCAGACATTTTGCAAAATGAGAAACTTTAAATGTAAACGACAGGGTTTTCGCTTTCACAGAAATTTGACACTTCTACTCAACCAAATTTCGTGATGTTTGCTTTATTCGAAAGGTGGTGAGACCCATATGGTATTAATGTTGGTTTTACAGTTTGAACTCTCAATTTTAATATAATATTGAAATTAATAAAATTAACGTGTCTGCGGACAATGTTTCATTATTTATTTGTAGCCATTTTGTAGAGCGTGAAACACCTCAGGAGCATACCCACTTTTGAGCCTCTGCGCAAGCGCATTTCGAGTTGCGCAGAGGATCAAAAGTGGTATAAACTAAAACAGCGCTATCCAATCTTATATCAGCTCGGACACAACAGTCTAATTCCCGAGGGAGTGCGAGCGCCTTGTCACTAATACATCGCCGCCACTCTGCAAGTAGTCTATATTCAATAATAATAATAATAATAATAATAATAATAATAATAATAATAATAATAATAATGATAATAATAATAATAATAATAATAATAATAATAATAATAATTACAACAACATTTACCAGATATACCATACATATCCGATTTAGAGAAGGTCACTTTAGTATCAAAAATATCAACTTTCAGGAAATGGGCTTTAAAGATGCAACCCTAAGATCACGAAAGCTATAACTTGCCTCATCAGAATAACCATTTCTCAATTACTTTCTTTTGACTCATGGTTTTAAAGTTGGTTAGCTTTACTACAATTTACTTTCTGCATGTCTGAATCTTTTAGTATTTGTGTGCTGCAAAATGTAACAGTATTGGAGCAAGCACCTAAGCCACATGAAAGAATTTCTCATTATGTTATTTTTTTTTTTAAAAAAAAGGTACTGTAACAATAATATCAACATAATTCAAATGCCAATTTAAAGAGAAAATTATGGGGATTTATAAAAAATAAAATACCAAAAAAATATTTTTTGACCGCAAAATCGTTCAATTTCCCCTTAAAATCTGTACAGGCGTGACGGAGTGACTCTCACACACGCTCAGGTCTACACGCCTGCGCAGTTAGAAAGAAATGAATTTCGACTCTTCTCCGGTCGCTTGCGCAAGTCGCTACACCAGTTAAGTTTGGCCTGCAGCAGCTGGCCCACATCATCTGGTTTACCTCGCTAATCACTCTGGTTTACCTACACAGGTAAATCTCACCGGTACACTATTCAATGAAAGTGCGCTATCCTTGGCCAAAAGTCATAACTCGATAAAGCAAATCGCCTAAAATTCGTTACACTTATAGACAAAAAAGAGGTAATAAATTTATCATATTACATGTTTCAAAATTTCAAAATGGCGGCTCCCGTATACGTACTGTCTTGAGGTGGGAAGAGATTGAAATTAAAAAGTAGCATGAAAACTTTTCTGATGAAGTTACGCATCTCTATTTTAATTTAACAAGATTTCATATTGTTGTGAAATAAATAGACATTCGTTTATTTCGTAAATTTCGTAATATTAAGTAATGTTCATTGTAATCACTAGAAAGTATCTATTCCATAGCATCCTCATCAGATACTTCAACAAGATCAGATATTTCCTCAATTGCTTTATGTGAATTTGATTCTAGTGCAGAGCAAATTAGCATTTTGATTACTTAAATCGGAAGTTCCCTAAGAATCCTTTTCTTATGTTTTTAAACAATAAATTTGAGAACTGGCGGCTACCTACATAACAGTAGTATGAAAGTATAGTATCGAAGTATTTAACCTTACTGATAGGAAAAAACGTGCAACTGTCAAAAAGAATTGTAGCAAATGCTTTTTTTGAACTTGTAATGAATTACTAAAAATTGGCACAATTGAATTCGCATACGGAGGAGCCGAAAAATATACCACAGGCGCCGGTCGGCTCCCAGTTATGCAAAAAGTCTCTATTGTGCGAG